AAAAAAAAAAAAAAAAGAACAGTAGAATTGAAAAATCACCATTTTGCAAAATCATCAATTGGATGAAACCATTAGATGAAGAGATGATGGGAAATTTTATAGTGGAAAGATTATATTACTATTTAACCCCAACAATCTAGTATCCCTAAGAGTAAGTCAACAAGACAATATGTGCCTAGTATGTTACAATTAGAAGCAATTACAACCTATGGAATATTTTTCCTTTTTTTTAAAGTTTATTTATTTATTTTGAGAGAGAGTGAGTTTATTTATTTTGCAAGACAGAGAACCCCAAGCAGACTCTGTGCTGTCAGGGCAGAGCCTAACACGGGGCTCCATTTCACAACTGTGAGATCACAGCCTGAATAAAAACAAAGAGTTGGATGCTTATATGACTGAGCCACCCAGGCACCCCTGCCAAAAATATTTGTATCTAAATTTAGCCCTAATTTCCAGTTTAGAGAAAATACAGGAGACGGAAGAATAAGTTAAATGACATAATAAGAAAGCAAATCTAGCATAAACCAGTTTCCAAGACAAATGACCATTTTCTTCAACAAGTCAATGACATTTTGGGGGGAAAATAAGCAGGGAACAAAAGGAGGAAGACTCCTCTAGTTTATAAGAGATATAACCACTCCCAAGATAAAATGTGTTTTAAAAAATGATAATGAATAAAACTACACATATGAATTTATGTAGGAAACATTACTGTCTATCCAAGATGGTATGAGGAACTCTTTTGCAGAGATAAGCAAACACTCTGTTTTGAGTGACAATGCGCTCTTCCTCCTCTTTTGTTAATCTATAGATATCCTTTTGCAAAGAAGCAATGGTCTCTTGTTGTTCCATTTGTTTTTTCTTATAATGCTGACATTTTGCCTGTAAGAAATTTTTCAAAAAACATAATCACGATATGTACCTCTAGGACATGCTGCCCTAATAACATTGTACACAGCTTCTATCAAGATGCTTCATTCAAGAACTTTTAACAACTGTTTTCACATGGGTGCAAGCTCCAAGGACATTAATAAGTCATAAACAGAAAAAAAATCAAACAATAGGGAAACTATAATTAATTGGGTCTATTCAAGTTTGGGTAGTAAGTAAAGGAACTCAAGTATGTCCATAAAAATGATATAATTTCATAGATGAAAATAATAATCAGGAAACAACCAATATTAACAAATTGGATTTAACAAAAGCCAGGATTTAAAATTCAGTTTTCTTTTTTTCTTTTTTTTTTTTTTTTTTTTGAGAAAGAGCACACATGCACACGTGAGCTAGGGAGGGACAGAGGCAGGAGGAGAAAGAGAGAATCTTAAGCAGGCTCCACACCCAGCACAGAGCCCAACAACAGAGCCTAAAATGTGACTTGATCACATGACCTTGAGATCATGACCTGAGCAGAAATCAAGTCAGATAGCCACCCAAGTGCCCCTAAAATTCAGATTAAGTGATCAATGATAATTCAAGATTTCAGATAATTTGATCAATTTAGGCACTCATGCAATATGAGAGACAACAAACTCAGAGGAAGTCCCTAACAAGGATTAATTATTAAGAAATAATATATACCCCAAGATGTATACAAAGGAATATAAATCTTGGACACTCTCTTGCTTGTCTTCAATGAAATATCACTGGCTTGGTTTTCCCTTATTCCCTACCTTCAATCCTTCAATGTCCTTTGAAAGCTCATTATCAATAGCACTATCATTGCTGTTATTAATACACTTTTCATTAAACTCAGTGAGAAACTCCATCCCCACCTAACCTGCCTATAACTAAGACATATGATTTTCAAAAGAGAATGACTTGTCTAAGCACATGTTCACCTGCCCATAGTGTCAAGTTTACTGAGACTTAGACAGCCTCAAGGGGAAAAGGGGACTCAGCTTCTGATACTACAACATCTCCCAGTAACCAGTGATCATCTGCTTCAGCCCCCAACTGGAAGTCAGGCAGTTGCTTTAGAGCCAAGTGATAATTGTCCCAGTTCCACCTCTATCTATACATTAGCAATGAAACCAGAACTAATCATTAGTTTTGCAAGGTTGCAGGTGTTAAGAGCAATATACAACCATCAACTGTATCTCTCCTAAGTCATTCTATGAGGCCAACATTATCCTGATACCAAGCAAGACAACACAAGAGAAGAGAACCACAAACCAATATCCATTATACACACTAATGTGGATAATCTCCGACAAAACTCTAGCAAACCAAATTCCTTAACATATTAAAAGGATTGTATACCAGGACCAAGCGACATCTATTCCTAGAATGCAGAAACGACCCATCATATGAAAAATCAATGTACTACACCACATTAACAGATTGAAAGGAAAAAAAAAAACATATGATCATCTTAATTGATGTAGAAAACGCATTTGACAAAATCCAACACCCTTTCATGATAAAACACTCAGCAAACCAGGAACAGAACGAAACATTCTCAACATAATAAAAGCCATTTATGGGGCACCTGGGTGGCTCAGTTGGTTAAGTGTCCAACTTTGGCTCAGGTCATGATCTCACATTTCGTGAGTTTGAGCCCTGCACTGGGCTCTGTGCTCACAGTTCAGAGCCTGGAGCCTGCTTCAGATTCTGTGTCTCCCTCTCTCTGCCCCATCCCTACTCATGCTCTGTCTCTCTCTGTCTTAAAAGTAAATAAAACATTTTTAAAAAATTTAAAAAGCCATTTATGAAAAACCTAGAGTGAACATCATACTCAATAGTGACAGACTGAAAGCTTTTCCTCTAAGATCAGAAACAAGGCAAAGATGCCTGCATTCGTTAATTGTATTCCACATAGTACTCGAAGTCCTTATCAGAGTAATCAGCCAAGAAATGGAATAAAAGGCATCCATTTTAGAAAGAGGTAGAAGTATGTTTGTAGATGATACGATGCTATATGCAGAAAACTTAAAGTGTGCACAAAAAGAAACCTGTTAGAATAAACGAATTCAGCAATGTAGAAACATACAAAGTCAACACAGAAAAATCAATTGCATTTCTTGTTTTTTAATTTGTTTTGAGAGAGAGAAAGAGAGAGAGAGAGAGACAGAAAGAGGGAGAGCGTGCGTGCGAAGGAAGGGCAGAGAGGGAGGGAGAATCCTAACCAGGATCCAGGCTGTTGGTGCAGAGCCCCACATGGGGCCCAATCTCACAAACCACGAGATCGTGACCTGAGCCAGGGCCAAGAGTCAGATGCTCAACCGAATGAGCCACCCAGACACCGCTCAATTGCATTTCTGTATTTACAATGAACAATCCAAAAGGGAAATTAAGAAAACAATTCCATTTACAATAGATCGAAAAGAATAAAATAGAAATAAATAAACCAAGAAGACAAAAGACATACATTGAAATTATAAAAAGTTGCTGAAGGAAAGTGAAGACAACACAAATGAATGTCAAGACATTCTGTATTCACAGACTGGAAGACTTAATATTGTTTAGAGGTCAATACTACCCTAAGTGATCTAGAGACTCAATGCAATCACTATCAAAATTCCAATGACATTTTTTTTGCAGAAACAGAAAAATCTGTCCTAAAGTTCATATGGAATCTCAAGAGATCTTACACAGCCAAAACAATCTTAAAAAAGGAACAAAGTTAAGGTTCTTAAACTTCCTGATTTCAAAGCTTATCACAAAACTATAGTAATCAAAACAGTGTGATACTGGTATATACCAACAGAGTAGAACAGAGAAAGCCCAGAAATAATCCTGTAGATACATGATCAAATTTTTTTTCAACAAGGGTACCAAAACCATTCAAAGGAAAAGAACAGGCTTTGTTCAACAAATAATGTTGGGAAAACTGGGTATCTACATACTAAAGAATTAAGGTGGACCCTTATCTAACATCATACACAAAAATTAACTTAAAATGGATCAAAGATCTAAATGTACAAGATAAAATTATAAAATTCTTAGAAGAAAATTATAAAATTCTTAGGACAAAAGCTTAGTGACACTGGATTTGGCAATCATTTCTTGGATAAGACACAAAAAGCACAAGAGAAAAAAAAACCAGATAAATTGACTTTCTCCAAACTTAAAACTTTTGTCTATCAAAGGACAACCAACAAAATAAGAAAATATTTTCAAATAGTACATAGGATAAGAGTCAGTATCCAAAATAAACAACTCCAGGGGCGCCTGGGTGGCTCAGTTGGTTAAGCGTCCGACTTCGGCTCAGGTCACGAACTCGCGGTTTGTGAGCTCAAGCCCCGTATCAGGTTCTGTGCTGACAGCTCGGAGCCTGGAGCCTGCTTCAGATTCTGTGTCTCCCTCTCTCTGCCCCTCCCCTGCTCATGCTCTGTCTCTCTCTGTCTCCCAAAAATAAATAAATGTTAAAAAATAAATAAATCAATCAATAAACAACTCCAACAACTCAACAACAAAATCCAATAAAAAAACAAGAAAAGGACTTGAATAGACATTTCTCTAAAGAACATATACAAATGACCAATAAGCACATGAAAAGATGCTCAACATCACAGACCATTAGTAAAATGCAAATTAAAACCAGAATAAGATACCACTTCACACCAATTAAAATGGCTACTATTAAAAATACAACAAAAATAAAAAATAACAAATGTAGGTAAGGATGTGGGGAAATCTTGTGCCTTGCTGGTAGAAATGTAAAATAGTGTAGCAACTTCAGAGAATATATTGCAGTTCAAGAAAAAATTAAACATAAATTTACCATATGACCAAGCAATTCCACTTCTGGGTATATAACCCAAACAACTGAAAGCAGGGACTTGAATAGACATTTGTACATCCACATTCATAGCGGGATTATTCACAATAGCCAAAAGATGAAAACAATCCAAGTGTCTATTGATGGATGAATGGATAAACAAAATGTGGTATATACACACAACAGAATGTTATCAGGCTTTAAAGAGAAAGTAAATTCCAACATGCTACAACATGGATAAATCTTGAAGACATTACAGTAAAATGAAATAAGCCAGTCACAAAAGGACCAATACTGTATGATTCCACTTATATGAGGTAACTAGAATGGTCAATAATAAGACAAAGTAGAATGATGGTTTTCAGGAGCTGCAGGGAGCAAAGAATGAGGAGTTACTGTTTCATGAGTATGAAGTTTCAGTTTGGGAAGATGAAAAAAGTTCTGTAGATGGATGGTGAGGACAGTTGCACAACAGGAATGTATTTAATGCTACTCAAGTGTATACTTTAAAATGGTTAAGTTTTATGTTCTTTATGACGATATACAACAAAAAAGGGGTGAAAATCAATTTATCTCTATAAACTCGCAATGAACATTAATAAATTAAACAGAAAATCGGGGTGTCTGGCTGGTTCCATCGGAAGTGTGTGCAACTCGATCTCAGGGTTGTGAGCTTGAGACCCAGGGTAGGTGTAGAGATTAAGTTTTTTATTTTTAAGATTTTATTTTTTAGTAAACAATCATCTACAATACATCTATCTACAATACAATCATCTACAATACCATTAAAATATTGGATACTCAGAGCTAAATCTGATAAAATATGTGAAAGGCCAGAGTACCCCAAATTACAAAACACTGCTGAGAGAAATTAAAGACTTAAACAAATAGAAACAGCATGTTCATGGATCATAACATTCAATACTGTTAAGATGCCGTTCTCCCCAAATTGATCTGTGTATTCAATCCCAGCAGGCTTTTTTTCTGGAAATCAACAATTAGAAAATTCACAAAGAAATGCAAAAGACCTAAAATAGTGAACACAACATTGACAAAGAAAAATGTAGAAGACTTACAGTGCCTGATTACAAGATTGACCATCATCAAAACAGTGTGGTACTTCCATAAAGACAGATACATACATTAATGAAACCAGTGTCCAGAAGTAGAGCCACACATACAACAATTCATTTCGGCTAAAAGTACAAAGGCAATGTGGCAGAGGCAGGATACTCTTTCTAAAAAATGGTGGTATAACAATTAGATATTATAACCTTGAGCTAGGGATCATTTTTTAAGATACAAACCAAAAGCATAAGCTATTTTTAAAAAACCTGATAAGAATTAAACTTCATCAAAATTTAGAACTTAAGCTCTTTGAAAACTACCAAAAAAAGGAAGACAAGTCACAGGCAGTTTCTTACAAAGTTAAATATATGCTTACCATACAACTCAGCAATTCTAGTCTTAGATATCTACCAAAGAGGAATGAAAGCCTATGTCCACAGAAACACTTGAACACAAATATTCATAAGCTCTATTTTTAATAGTCAGAAATTAGAAACAACTCAAATACACACTAACAGGTCAACACACTGTGGTATATCCACACAATGGAATACTTGTCAGTAATAAAAAGTAATAAACTATTGATACAACCAGCAACATGAATGAATCTTGAAATAATTATGTTCAGTGAAAGATGATTACATATCAATGATTTTGATAGGGTAGTTAGATATGAGCTGGAGGTAAGGATGGTGGTAAACAGTGCTTCCAGTTTCCCCACCTTCCAGGGCTATCAGATCAAGAACAGCAGGTGCTCTCCTTGTGAGTCTGTGGCCTGCAATAACCTAGAACTTCATTATACTATATTTTAACTGCAGTTTCAGCACCTCTCACTCCCGTGAGGGAAAACAGCCATGACAGTTCTGGCAAGCACCCTGTAGGACCAAAAACTTCCCCTCCCTATTGGAGGAGTCCCTTAAATGACTGGAAACCTCAGTCAGAGACCACTATAGCCACTACCCGTAACCTATGCAACCATAAAAAGAAAAGATAGCCCTAACTCCAGTGCCATTGCCACCTTGGGCCTGCCTGCTATCCCATCTTGACAGCATATTGTCCTATTTAATAAACTGCTTTGTGCTTGCTACTTTCTTCTGGCTGTCTTTATTTGAGTGCGGATTCTTATATAAATCTTTCATGGGGAACCCAAGAACTAGACCTCCATTCACACAGCACACAATCTCCCACCAAGAACAATTTTAATAGCCTGTGCCACATGAAATGTCCATTTCCTTCCTATCTCTTTCCTCCCTATTTAGATTTTAGTACATATAACCCAGTTATGTATTCTGCATGTCTTGCTGACTTTAAAAAAGTTTAGGTCCACAGACCACCACCAGAAACTCCCAACTCTACATGCAACACAATGGCAATAATTAGTATCTTTCAGTACTCACTCTAAATGTCAATGGACTCAACGCTCCAATCAAAAGACACAGGGTAAGAAAATGGATAAGGAAACAAAATCCATCTATATCCTGTTTACAAGAGACCCATTTTAGACCTAAAGACACCTTCAGATTGAAAGTAATGGGATGGAGAACCATCTATCATGGAGTAGCCATACTTAGACAATCTAGATTTTAAAATAAACATTGTAACAAGATGAAGAAGGGCTTTATAGCATAATTAAGGGGTCTATCCACCAAGAAGACCTAACAATTACAAACATCTATGCCAATGTGGAGCACCCAAACATATAAACCAATCACAAACATACAGAAACTCAGTGATAATGATACCATAATAGTAGGGGACTTCAACACCCCCACTTAGAGCAATGGACAGATCATCTAAACAGAAAACCAAGGAAACAATGGCTTGAATGACACACTGGACTAGATGGACTTAACATACATTCAGAACATTTCATCCTAAAGCATTGGAATACACATTCTTCAGAAGTACGCATGATACATTCTCCAGAATAGAGTACATACTGGGGCACAAATCAGCCCAAGTACAAAAAATATCAGTATCAACAAGTACAAAAAAGATCAAGATCACAATGAGATACCACCTCACACCTGTCATAATGACTAACGTTAACAACTCAGGCAACAACAGATGTTGGCAAGGATGCGGAGAAAGAGGATCTCTTTTGCATTGTTGGTGAGAATGCAAACCGGTACACCCACTCTGGAAAACAGTAGGGAGGTTCCTCAAAAATTAGTGCAATTACACTACTAGGATACAAAAATGCTGATTCGAAGGGGCATGTGCACCCCAGTGTTTATAGCAGCCCTATCAACAATAGCCAAATTATGAAAGGAGCCAAAATGTCCGTCAACTGATGAATAAAGATATGGTATATATATATAATGGAATATTACTTGGTGATCAAAAAGAACGAAATCCTGCCATTTACAAAAATGTGGATGGAGGGGCGCCTGGGTGGCGCAGTCGGTTAAGCGTCCGACTTCAGCCAGGTCACGATCTCGCGCTCCGTGAGTTCGAGCCCCGTGTCGGGCTCTGGGCTGATGGCTCGGAGCCTGGAGCCTGTTTCCAATTCTGTGTCTCCCTCTCTCTCTGCCCCTCCCCCGTTCATGCTCTGTCTCTCTCTGTCCCCAAAATAAATAAAAAAAAAACGTTGAAAAAAAAAAAATTTAAAAGTTGGCTGCTTAACCAACTGAGCTACCCAAACACCCCTATTTGAGAGTCTCTTATGGTTTCCTCCCTCTCTGTTTTTATCTTCCTTTGTTTTTCCTTCCCTTTTGTTTCTTAAATTTAACATGTGAGTGAAATCATGATGTTGGTCTTTCTCTGACTTATTTCGCTTAGCATAATACATTCTAGTTCCATCCACATTTTTTTTTTTTTAACGTTTATTTATTATTTTTGGGACAGAGAGAGACAGAGCATGAACGGGGGAGGGGCAGAGAGAGGGAGACACAGAATCGGAAACAGGCTCCAGGCTCTGAGCCGTCAGCCCAGAGCCTGACGCGGGGCTCGAACCCACGGACCGCGAGATCGTGACCTGGCTGAAGTCGGACGCTTAACCGACTGCGCCACCCAGGCGCCCCTACAGCCAACTTTTGATTATGGCTCAGCTCGTGATCTCATGAGCCCTGTATGGGGCTCGGCACTGGGCTTGGAGCCTACTTGGGATTCCTCTCTCCCTCTCTCTCTCTTCCCCTCCCTGCACTCGCCCATGTGCTCTCTCTCAAAATAAATAAATAAACATTTAAAAATAAAATATAATAGGGGCGCCTGGGTGGCTTGGTCGCTTGAGCGTCTGACTTCGGCTCAGGTCATGATCTCACAGTTTCTAAGTTTGAGCCCTGCATTGGGCTCTGTGCTACCAGTTGGAGCCTGCTTCAGTTTCTCTGTCTCCCTCTCTTTCTGCCCCTCCCCGGCTTACGCTCTTTCTCTTGCTCTCAAAAATAAATAAAAAAATAAAAAAAATTTTTTTAATAAAGTAACGATTTCTTAAAATTGGGAAATTAAGCAGTGTTAAAATACTGCTATTTTTATAAAAAGAAAAGTAACCAAACAACTTATAATAATCACAAAGGATATTCCATAAAAACATTACATAAATTTAATTCAGTAACAAATATTTGAGCATTTACTCCTACTAATAATAGGTACTCTTTTAGCCTAAACAAAATAGACAAAAATATTTGCCTTCATGGAGCTTACATTCTAACACAGGGAAATATATAAACAAAACTACTTGTTTATATATAGTATGTTAGGATGTTGGACAGCGGTAAGAACTATGGATAAAACATAAATCAAGGAAGGAGTATGAAGTGTGGTGGATGGGATTGGCAACTGTAAGTAAAGTAGTCAAGGAAGGAATTCCTGAGAGATGGTAACATCCAAGAAAGGACAGAGAGAACAAGCCATGCAGCTAACTCTTGGTGACACTGAGAAAGGAGAGAGAGAAGAGCATGCAGGGCAAAGGGAAAAGAAAGAACAAAATGTACAAAGGCCCTGAGGTGAGGATGATCAAGGAAAATGTTCAAGGAAGAAAAAGAACATGACTGTGGCTGGAGTAGAAATAAACAAGGAGTACACTAGATGAAATCAGAAAGTAACAGGTAGGCACATATGTAGGACCTTAGAGGCCATGGTAAGACTTTTTGATTCTCCTCTAAAGAAAAAGGAAAGCCATTAGGGGCTTCTGAGTTACTATGTTCAAAAAGACACTGAAAAAGGCAAGGGTGGAAACAAGAGAGACCAACAGAGGGGTAGAAGAGAAAGGAAGGTGACTTGGACCGGAGTGGAGACTAAAAAAAAATTAAAAGTTTTGGGAAGAAATCCAGGAATACATTTTTAGACACATAAAATTCTAGATATCTATTAGACATCCAGTAGAGATATCAAATAGGCTGCAAGGTATCAGTCTGGAACTAAGGGAAGATGCCTGGGCTACAGATTTAAATTACAAATGAATTTACGCTATGAATTAGGCTGAACATCTGAGTCAGAATATATAGGAAATATAAAAGATCTAAGAAATGAGTACTGGGGAGTCCCAGCACTAAGAGGATAGAGAGATAAGAACCAGCAAAGGAACTGAAGAATGACCAAAAGGAAAACCAGAGGAGAGGACATTCTGGAAACCAAAGAAAGAAAGAATTTTAAGAAGGCAACAGTGATAGGTCAATAAGATAAAGTCCACTGAATTAAGCAACAACACAGAGGTCACCTTGACCTTAATGAGCCGTTTTAGTACTATCATGTAAGAAAACACAATTAATACCTGTAAAGCTTTATGCTCCTTTTGAAGATCTTTTATTTTATTCTGTTGCTGGCTAACCCTATTTATGGATTCATCCTCCAATTCACCAATTTTGGATTTCACACACTCCATAATTTGTTCCAAGTCATTAGCTCGTTGTTCCTGATCGGCTGCTCGGCTCTGTTCTAGCTGAAGGTCATTTCTAATAACAGACACACAATTCCTTCCCTTAGTTATAAAAGTAAAATCACATCAACAAACATACCCATCTAACAACATAATGAATTTCTAAAATTTCTTTGCATTCTTAAAATTTCCATCATATAACACAAACCAATATAAGAAATATAGGACACTATTACACACCTAAGCTAAGCTATTACTGAAAGAATTATCTATTAAAAATATTAAAATATAAAAATATTTAAACTTAACATTTATGTCAAAATAGAAAATTAAAGGTCTGGATTCAAGGCAATTATTTTTAGAATGCATATATCACTTATATACAAACAATTCAAAAGAGACATTTTTCCATTTTCTTACTTAAGCTGCTGATTAGTTTCTATGAGCTCCTGGATCATGTTCTGCTGACGTGTTGTTTCTTCCATCAATGTTTTCAAATTCTGCCTCATCTTCTGTGATGACTGTTTATCAAAAATGATGAAATCTACATTTATGGAATGTAACACAGATAATAAAAATAAAAAGCAAAAAAAAATTTTTAGGATAAAAAGTTTTGAAAGGAAAAAGACATTTTTTACCATTATGAACAAGAATAGGATCTGATTACCTTTAAGATCAGTTCTTTTGACTAGAAATAAAGGTTTTAAACCATGCATCATCAAAAGCACATTTATGCTTTCCCATTCTGCTTCTTCCTGCTATGATTACAAGGAGAGAAAAGAATCAACTTTAACATATAGAGAGAACAAACACCCTCTTGAACATAATTTCCTTGTCTTCAGAATAATGGAACTTTTTCTCCAAAGTTTTTTAATATGAATTTTTATGTACATATAATAAGTAAAATTAAACTTATTTCTGACAAAATTAGCAGACTAAAAAGAATGCAAATGAGCATAAATAATTATATAATTCCAGAATACTCATACATAAGGCCTTAATGGATAGAGTAAAACAAAAACACCAACAAAAAAATACCTTGTAATTTCAGTGAACCAAACAGACCTGAGGTTTTTTGTTTAACTGAACCAACCGGGCTCTACTCAAAAGAAACAGCTGCAAATTAGGTCATATTAACTGAATAGTAAATTAAATTTGAGTCACTCAGAAACAAGTATCACTTAATAAGTAGGGTCACAAAAAATTTTTTTTAAATCTGATTGGTCAAAGCCAGTAATTTAATAGTCTCTTGTATAATAGACAAGGTCTAATTATAAAAAGGAGTCTGTCCATCTAGATAACTGATTCTAGTAGAATCACTCTGAAAGATACTCTCAAGCTTTGTATCCCTCATTTTTTTTTTTCTTTTCAATGTGTTTTTTTTTTTTTTTTTTTTAATTTATTTTTGGAACAGAGAGAGACAGAGCATGAACGGGGGAGGGGCAGAGAAAGAGGGAGACACAGAATCGGAAACAGGCTCCAGGCTCTGAGCCATCAGCCCAGAGCCCGACGCGGGGCTCGAACTCACGGACCGCGAGATCGTGACCTGGCTGAAGTCGGACGCTTAACCGACTGTGCCACCCAGGCGCCCCTCCGTCATTCTTAAATATGTATTTACAACACAAACCTGAGAGGGGAACCCTAACTCTCTAGAGTATGTAAATAAAAACATGATAATGGGAAGAAAAAGGTAATTAAGAACATACAATACAGATAAGAATGAAAAGAGCATGGGGCATCTGGGTGGCTCAGTCAACTAAGCATCTGCCTTCAGCTCAGGTCATGATCTCACAGTTTGTGGGTTCAGGCTCTGCATCAGCCTCTGTGCTGACAGCTCAGAGCCTGGAGCTTGTTTCAAATTCTGTGTCTCCCCCTCTCTCTCTGCCCTTCCCCCACTCATGCTCTGTCTCTCTCAAAAGTAAATAAATATTAAAAAAATTTTAAAAAAAGAATGAAAAGAGATTTTTTAATTATACATTTATATCCATGACATTAACAATTTATAACAGTCTTTTGATGTAAATCCAATGATCAATTTGGAATCACTGTATGAGGTGATTTACTTGCTTTTTAAGTTATTAAAGTAGGGGTGCCTGGGTGGTTCAGTCAGTTAAGTGTCCAACTCTTGATTTCAGCTCAGGTCATGATCTCATCATTTGTGAGATCAAGCCCTGAATCAGGCTCTGTGCTTACAGCATGGAGCCTGCTTGGGATTCTCTCTCTCCCTCTCTCTGCCGCTCCCTTGCTCACTCACGCTCTCTCTCTCTCTCCCAAAATAAACAAACATTTAAGTTACTAAAGTATATTTAAAAAGGTAATTTGAGTGAATTTTCAATGTTAAAATGCTTTAAAAAATAGAATTTATACAATAGTTTTCACTGGTGGAATAGTATTAAATATTTTAATAGCTTAAAGATTAATAATTTAGGCAGCAGACAAAATACATATAAAAGGATTAGTCTCCATATCCAAATCCCTCTAGATATTAAAGAAATCTCTCAAGACAAAAAAGGAACAAATTACCCTGATAACTATGATAGCACTATCAATAACAGTGCCAAATCTTTCCTTTTGACTGCTTTCCTCCCCTTCTCTATCGTTTCTGTACTTCTCCGCCCTCCCACAATCTTTTCCCTTATTATTTTTTAAGGTCTTCTGGGTCAAAGATTCATGACCCAGAATTTAAATTATTAAGCATATCGGTTTTAGGGGCACCTGGGTGGCTCAGTTGGTTGAGTGTCTGACTTTGGCTCAGGTCATCATCTCACAGTTCTTGAGTTCCAGCCCCGTGCCGGGCTCTGTGCTGACAGCTCAGAGCCTGAAGCCTGCTTTAGATTCTGTGTCTCCCTCTCTGTCTGCCCCTTCCCCACTCATGCTCTGTCTCTGTCAAAAATAAACATAAAAAAAAGATATGTTTAGGAGCCAAAAGTTCTGGGTGGGCATCTCAGTGGATGTCTACTATGACTCGCAAAAACAAAGTACTCTGTAAATAATGCCACACATTTTAAATGATCAAATTATACATATTGTTCCTGGATACCTCTTTTAATGGAAAGAATAACTGCAAATTCTGAAAAGAGCTAAGAATGGCATTTTCTTAAAAAAAAAAAAAAAAGAATGGCATTTTCTAAAGTATGTGGTACAGAACACTAAAGAACTGTTCATGAGACTAATGTGAAATAAGTAGGAAATACTGTATACTAAAGTCTCTTTTTGGACAGTATTGTGAAGTCTTACAATAACAAAATATTAAATAATCTTTAACCCAATATTTCCCAAAGTTATTTTACTACAGAACCCTTTTAAGAAAGATTTTTCATATTTGTAAATGCAGTATTCTTTGGCACGTACTTCACGAAACACTGGCTTCAAATATTTTAAGTTTACCTGTTTTTCAGTCATGAGTCTGTTTGATGATTTACTAGACTCCTAGGCTTTAGGGGCTGCTGGAGATTTGGTATCTTAAGTAAAATCTGAAGAAGTAGATTGGCAGTAAAAAATACTGGAGTTGCCTAAATTAGAAAAGAAAAAATGCAATAGGTGTTAAAGGAAATTATACTTAAAAGAACCAATAACTCTTTGGCAATTTAAGCCATTCCTGTGTCAAAAGTCATATGACTTGTCAGAAAACTGATTTTAAGAATGATTAGAACAGGGGCACCTGGGTGGCTCAGTTGGTTAAGTGTTCAACTTCAGCTCAAATCATGATCTCACAGTTCGTGAGTTTGAGCCCCTAACAGGCTCTGTACTGACAGCTCAGAGCCTGGAGCCTGCTTCGGATTCTTTACCTCCCTCTCTCCCTGCCCCTCCCCTGCTCATGC